TATTGGAAAATCAACTTAGTTGACCTATTTGTTCATATATAATGAAGAAATTTCATTATACAGATTTAAAAATAAAAAATAAAAATCACAAGTATCTTTTATCATTCAAGTTTGATAGAATTATTATCAATATCCGAAAATTTAATGCAAGTTGTATACATGGGTCTTGACTCGACTATTATTCTTAAATGAACTTTGTGATTAGCACCCAAGAAAACAATGTTTAAAAATTATATTATAATCAAGTTTAAATTGATCGGTGCAGGTTTTCAACGAAGAAAGAGATGTTTCTTTGTTTATTCTGAAGATTAGTTGCCTTATATATGCAGAGCTTACAGTATACAATGTATCTTATTTTTTTATGGATATATAATTAATGATGCTGCAGTTGCAAATTTAAGTTATTTTGCAGAATTCACAATGTTACTAGAACGAGTATTCATATTTATTATGGTTGTGGATTTGTCAACGTAGATCAGTGGAAAAAGTAAGACTAACAGAAAAATATCACGTGATGACTCAGTGGTACAGTTGCATTGAATTAAAATTTAACAATTAGCGTATCATGTTAAGTAACTCATAACATTCATGAACGTGGATATGCTTTTGTTCACGAGTATGCTGTTTGGTTTTGTTTTCTAGCTACTTCAACTTCATCAAATTACAAAAGTGATACATAGTTTTCTTGTTTTTATTTAAAAATAGTTATAAATAATATAAATTATTTATCATAAATCTACAATATAATTTATATGTTTAAAAATATTTATTTATATAGATTTCAAATATAATTCATATATTCATACATAACATTTATTTATATATAATTTATTATAAAATTTTAATTATATATAATAAATATTTATCATGTGTATTACATGTGCGAAAATACTCATTATGTCCGAGATCAGTTATGACCTATTTGGGTGACGAGCTGAAGTCACATAGCGCGTGTCCGAGGTCGTCTTGTGCTGTGATACCGAGCTGGGAGCTCGGCTTCGCAGTACAGATAGTACATATATATATATATATATATATTTAATTATATATGGATTTGGGAGAAGTTTTGGTTGTGTTTTAGTTTTCTTTTTAATCTCATTGATTCCCTCATCTATCTCAAATATTTAAATATCGGCAAATTAGCGAATTATAATTGTATTCTACCGCGGTACCGAATTAATCTCTAGTTAGTAATTGCACAATTAATTAAGGAATTATAATTGTGTTTTAATTTTATTGTGTTGTAGCTATCCTAAATTTGTCTTAAGCATTCACGATATGGGGACATATCATAATTTCATTTCATTTTATTTTTTATACTTTGACTGAAAATTATCAAACATATTTGTGAAATTAACTTTTTGATCGGATATTGTAGTGATTATATAAAATCTCCCTACACTACAAAAAAATATGTATTTAACTGGGTTTTTTAACGAGGGTTATGCTAACCTTCGAGAACATAAGTAATTAACTGGGGTTTCAATAACTCTCGTTAAGTATTATTAAGTTACAGGGGTTAAAATTTAAAATCGTTGGTATATTTTAATAATATATTATTTTTAAATTTTTTTTTTTATTTTTGTAATGATAATTATTTTTTTTTTCATTTGAAATGATTTTAAATGAATTTCAAAAAATCATTTTGACTTATTTAAGTAAACAAAAAAAATATAATTCTAGTTTTAAGTTTTTAGGAGTTGTTATCCCCCTTTCAATATTATAGTTTTCTCTACCTTCCGCAAGTTTCTGTCAAAGGTGATAAAATGAGTATTTGATTGACCAAAACTTGCCTAATGAAATGTAGAGAGTTTGAACTTTATATTTTGAACACAAACTAAATCTAGGTCATTTTACCCAACCGGATTATGTCTTGATTTGGACTTATAGCTTACAAAAACAAGATTTTATTGGGTTTGAGTTTCATTTCAAATTCAAAAGACTGAATTGAATCTTAGTGTTTTGGTTTGACCTACTATAGCCCATGACTTCTATCGTGCCTACAACCGGAACTGACTCAAATGCTTAATGAAATGTAGGGCTAAAACTTTAATTGAGTACGAATAAAATTTAGACATTTATAACTTAATATGATCATGTTCCGATATTTGAGCATAAACTAAAAAAAATTAAAAATTAAAAATATTAGAAAAAAAGATGATAAAATAAAAATTGTTAATTTTTTTTTTTTCTAACTTAAACTACAAAAATTCATAAGAATTGAGGTTGGCCCTCATTTTAGAAGCCTTGATTTGAATCCAGGCTCGCAACTAAAGCCTCCTTTTAGTATGCGATCCACATCGAACCGTACAAGTAGTGTAAACTCAGCTCAACAAAATGGCTTTAAAGTTTGACCACCAAGTAAATATGTAATTAGGTTTTATAGAAAACTATTAGGAGATCCTGTTATGTATTAATTTTTTTTTTTACACAATTTAATGTGTCTCGCATCCACTAGAAATAAAATCAGCTGTATATAAGTAAAAAATAATTAAGGATGACAACAGGCCAGAGCGGAATGGATATGAATTTTATTATCTTAATTCCTATCTTCATTTTCATCTCCATTCATGTATCATATACCCGTTCTAGTATCCAATGGCTATAATTTGTGACCCCGTCCTTGTCAAGTATCAGATAAACCTGTACTTGCTTATAAATTAATTAAATATATTTTTTTAATTTATATATATATACATATATATATATAATAACTTCAATATAGAGTAAATATTACAAAACTACATTAATTAAGTTTCATATGACATAAAATTAAAATAGAATAAAAATTACATAAATCTCAAGTAAATTTTTTAAAATTAAATTAAATTTTCAGAAATTTAAAGCGGGTATGGATAAATATATATATATATATGCTTGCACTTGATGCTCTGGTGATTCAGCAAGGGTGTTTAGCTGAACAAAAGAGTAAGGGTTTTCAGGTTTTATTTATTTCTTTGTTGCAAGATTTATGGATTATTTAATATGGTATAATGCTTTTATGTATGCAGTTGTTAATAAAGAGTGAAGGAAGCAAGGCTTGGAAGTAGGGATTGGGGTTCTGTGATACTCCATCCATCTTCGTGGTCCTCATCCAATGATTTGACCTATCTTCATCCTTGGTATTGGAATGCTGGGCTTGTCATGAAATCTGATAGTACAGTAGATCAGCACAAAAGGTATCCAGCATTAAGTCAATCGCCAGTGGAAGGTAGTGACAAGTTATACAAGCATGGAATTTTAAGTTAAGCCTGTTTTAAATTCTGGAAAATACTGTTAATTGCCAAACTTTGTGAGAGTGGAATGTGAAAGTGTTTTGCATTATTAGTCCCAATTCTATGCCCAACTATTCATGATCATATAGTAAAGACAGAGATACAAAGTTATGTAATCAATGCCAGGCAATTGGCATAGTCCAAACCGTGTCAGTAATTAAACAATCAACATGATTCCCCAAGATTACCAAATAAAGGAAAACAAAAGAAGAAATCGAGTAGCTATACATTGCCACAACAAGAGGCATAAGTTCTAGGAAAATTTAGCAGGCTTGACAGCGGATAACAAAGTCTAGATTTGAGTGAAGAAGAAAGTGTTTGAGGTGTAATTCCAAGATAATCCAACAATGCTTTTCTAGTCAAATGCAATGGAATTTGCCCAACACCATACGTATTGTGCCGAGCTAGCATGCTTTTTGGCTAATGTATGGTCTTTTTCCAAGTCTGTTTTTTCTAAAGTTGTCGGGGTGCAGTGCAGGATCACGTCGTGCATTGTTGGTTTTGTTGAAGTGTTACTTTATTATCTTGTTGTATCTTTTGATCGGTGTGTCAAGCCTTGGTACTACTTGTGATTTGGCTTTGTTCTCACCATTAATTGGTCATAAATTTTGGCTTTTACAAAAGAAACTCTATCATTTGATAAGAACTAAAGGATGATCAACCACGCAACTACTTAAGACAAGGGGATTAAAAACTTATTATCTTCACGTGATAACGTTAGACATAATTATTTATTTATTCTGGATGGTATATATTTTAATGAAATATATATATGCCAATGACAGTGTGCCTTTTGTCTCTATCCCTTCATAACGTGCAAACCAAAAGCATGAACATGAAGTAAGCTTACATAAGTTGCAGATTTTAGAGGCAGAAAAAGTACACTATTGAGAATTCCTTTGGAAATTTGTGTTAGATATGAGATGAGGTAATTGGCAACTGTTGTGTCTCCATTTCAATGTTAGGTTTTAACTCCTTTAAATTGTTGTTTTAGCTTCTTTGGATCTCAAAAAAATAGAATATTGAATGGTACCTACTTGTATAAATCATTTATCATTAACTAATTAGATGTTATTCATTAAAATAAAGATTAGTTTTATGTCCCATTCTATAATTCTTGCTTTCTATCAATGGTAAGATTTGCATGCAATTACAATTTTTACTTCTTCTACTGTTAGATTAATTTATTATTATTTTGGTTAAAATTGAAGTGATACTAAATTTACTTGAAAATATAATTTACTAGTTTTTTTAATCTCTGCATTATATATTAAATAAATATTTTTCGAATTTAAAATTATATTATAATTAAAATTTATAATAATTAAATAACGTTAAACATATATAAATCATATTTAGTCTTATAATAAATATATTTTAATGATTATGTATAGTAATTTTCAATTGATAATTTATTTAAAGATAAAAATAAAAGAATGAAAATTTAAGATGGAAGAGATAGAAGATTTTTAATTATATACATAATTTAGAAGATAATATGAGTGTAATGCAGTTAAAAAGAAGATAAGAGATTTAAAAGAAAGAACAGTTGGGATCGATCTCTCCATTCTTATAATTTTGTGTGCATAAAGATGACCGTATCTAATTGTTTAAAGTTGCAAATTTCCTTTATATTATCATGAAACATATATATTAGAAAGAGAAAATGTGTTCATTTCCTATATAGGATATCTCCAGTCCACTCCTATCATAGGTAGTATAATATGCAGCGAGAACCAAATTATTCCACTTTAATTAGTTTGAAAATTACATCCATTTCCAGTACAAATTAAACAAACAAACTGCTTATTCATTAATACATGAGAAAACACGTGCAGATAAATAGACGTAATAATAATAACATGCATATAGTACAATTAATCCGTAAATATGACGTAGGTAGAATAATTTATATGTATATATTATATATAGTACAGTTGATCCATCCACATGATGCAGTTGTAGTACGTAGGTGGGATGGGGTAGCTAGCGATGGGGAATGAGAGAGTTGTAAGTGATTGGAGGCGGAGGAGAGGGGGTGGTGGTGTAGATCTGCGGGTAGTATCCTTTACAAGGGACGTAATGGAGATACTTGGGATTTGGGCAGGGCTTGAGCTGGGAGAAAAAATGAGTGCATTCTCCGTGAGGCCTTTGATTTGGAAGGCCGAGGATGCAGTTGTAGCTGACGTCAAGAACATTGTTCTTGATGAGGGTCCTGCATGCAGGACCAACCTGGGTGAAATAGTTGTAGGATAAGGAGAAGTTGCCTTTGTTGCGGAGGCCCGGAAGCTGACACACCATCTCGGGAACTTCTCCGTAAAACTGGTTCTGCTCCAGGTTAAGGTACCGGATGCTTTCCAAGCACCCAAAGGAGTGAGGGATGGGACCCGTTAACAAGTTTATGCTCACGTCGAAGACGGTGGCCTTCTTGAGGTACCCGATTTGATAGGGCAAGCAGCCCTCAAAGTGGTTGCCCAAGAAGAGCACTTCGGTGAGGGTTTTGGAAGCTTGGCCAATGCTTGAGGGGATTGGACCCGTGAGTTGGTTGTTGGCAAAAGTGAGGTACCTGGCTGGTGTGGACCCAAAGTTATCGGGGAGAATGCCATTGAATTTATTGTTGTTGATGAATAGGACATCCAGGAAAGGAAGCTGAAAGACTTGTGCTGGGATTGGGCCGCAGAGATGGTTGAACCTGAGGTCAAGGAACACCAGCTGCTTGGACTCCACCACTTCCTTGGGAAACTCACCTTCCAGCTTGTTGTTACTAAGGTCTAACTCGAAGAAATACTTGTACTTGGTGATGTCAGTTGGGATGGCACCGGTGAAGCCGTTGGAGTTGACGTGGAAGAATGTGAGCTCTGGTATGGCACCCAAGATGCCCGAGAGCCTCAGCGCTGTACCGTTTTTCCCAGACAGCCCAGCTCCATTCAGGTCTATTCCCGCAACTGCTCTCTCCTTTGCCTTTGGATATGTGCCACATCGCACCCCCTTGTACTTACAAATCTCCCTACCCTTCCAGTTACTCGTATATCCACTTGGGTCTTCGATCCCAACTCTGAATTTTCGAAGCACTTTGCCAGCTCTCCTCAGCCGTGTCACTGGTGGGGGCGGTGGACACATTACTGGGGGAGGAGGGGGTGGCGGACACATTGCTGGGGGCCAATAACCGTAGCCGTAACCATTGCCAGCCACCCTTTGCAACCACTGAAGCAATAAACCATTTAATAACAATAATAAAGCGCACATGTACGTGCTGTCCATATTTCTCTCTCCAGACAGCCTGTTCAAAGAGACCATGCCTAAGTTGTTAGTCCTCTCCTCTCTATATATATAAACCTACAAGGAGGAGAAAAGTCAAGTGCATGTGCATCTACCAAAGTTTTTTAAGTGGGAAGCTCTTGTGCTTTCCTTTAATTCTGTGGGGAGCATTTTCTTCTTCTCCACGTACCTCTCTCTCACTCCACTCCTTTACTTTTTTTGGTAGGGTTTAATAATTACCAGCTCTCACCTCCCAATTACCCACGGAAATTAAAGTAAAGATATTTGCTCTACCACTAACCATTTTATACGTCACATTTACGGGGAATGCTCGGTGCCCTCTTATTTGAAGGGGTTTTGGTGCCCCTCAGTACAAAAGTTGGATTTTTAGGGGCAATAAGGTAAATTGATAAAATTTATCAATTTACCTTATTGCCCCTAAAAATCCAACTTTTGTACTGAGGGGCACCAAAACCCCTTCAAATAAGAGGGCACCGGAGCAACAGCCCACATTTACTCTAACTCCTATTCTCTCGCTTTTAATATACCCTATTTCTATATTTATCTCTTTTTTCACCCAGCGTCAAATAGGTTTCTAAAAATTATTTTTGTTGCTGTACCCCGTGAATTAAATTATGGCTGTGCTCACAATTTCCAATTGGAAGTTGGTTCTCCGATCGCAACGTCGGCAGGTGAGGTAAAACAATTTTATTTGTCCAAATTAATAATTATAATGATTAATTCAACATTTTTCAAACGGAAAGCGGATCTATACTTTGTGGAACTTGTCATTTCAGCATTAATGCCATAAAATATTTCAGTTCAAGAGGGTAGGGGGAAACTGACAAAATAAAAGATTTCTGCGCGCGGCATCTATAAAAGTAAAACTATTTATCGTTGGGCGAAATGAATATTGGTGAATTTTGATACAAAACTTAATAATGAACAATATGCAAGATCGAAAAAAGAAAGGATTTAGGCTTTTTGACCCAATAAATAAAAATAAATAAAAAATATACGAAATAAATAAAAATAATAATTTATCAAAATAGGTGATTTTGGACAGCGTGGAACAGAAAATGCAAGGGGGTGAGACGTTTTTTAGAAAAAGCCTCCTCCATGCGCCTTGTATGGCTGATGTGGTACCTGCACACGTGAAAAAAGAAAGAGCAGGGGGCAAGCATTTTTTAGAAGGAGCCTCCCCCTAAGGCGCCATCTTTTACAAATGTTACACGTGGCAGTTTGTGAAGAAAGAGCAAGGGGGCCGGGGAGGCGTTTTTTAGAAAGAGCCTTCCCCCCAGGCGCCTTCTGTTGACGTGGTGACGCGTGGCTCGTGGAGAAAGAAAGAGCAAGGGGGGGAGGCGCCATCTATTCATCATTTGACACGTGGCATAGCTTCCCCCATTTTCTGTTTAAATGTGAGTCCGAGAGTAGAGGCTCAGATATGTTTTTTTTATAGAAAATGCTTGTACTCCCGGCACTCTCAGAAAACTCTTCTACCACTTATTGCCCCACAAAATTATTTTTGCACGTTGTTATCAGGTATGATTTGTACTTTATTTATTTAAATTTAGAAATAAATATTTAAATTTAGGACTGATTCATTAATGGTTTCTGGGTGTGGAACGGCCCGTTCTGAAAACAGAACAGGTCGTTCTGATTGAACAATTTGGTTGCTATTTTGGATGTGGAATGGGACGTTCTGAAAGTAGAACGGGCCGTTCTGGGGTCGTTCTGGTTGTTTGGTTTATTAAAAAATGGAAGGGATCAGAACGACCCGTTTTGCTTTCAGAACGGCCCGTTTCAGAACCCAATTTAAAACACGTTTTGTGCAATGAGAACGACCCGTTCTCGTTTCAGAACGGGCCGTTCTGATTGCTGTCATGAAGGGTTTCAATTGAAAATTTTGAATTATTATGAGGGATTAAATTAGGCATTTATAAAATTTATAAGTAATTAGTTGTTTGAGTTTAATATTTATTTTGTTTGTTTGTTTAATTATATCAGGATGTCTACACAGATGACTACAATATTTCTATCTTAAGTTGAAGAGAAACTTCAAAGGTTATTCTTTCTCAACTGTCTGAACATAAAACACACACACACACACTTATATTTATAGGCACATGGAGCCTAACTAAAATAATAAAATAATATGAAGTGCATAATTTAACCATTTTTTTTTCATTACAGAATTACAAAACAACAACAACAAATACATATTATTAACTAAAGTGCATAATTTTACCAATATTTAATAATAATATTCTCCAAATTTAAATTTCACAATCCATATAAAAAATTACATTACAACCATCCTAATTAGAAATAAACATAAAACTAAATTACAAATATTTTTTCTCATTAAATCAAATATCCTTCGGAATAACCTGCAAAAAATGTAACATACATTTGTTAAACAATATTAGTTACAAAATAAATTATATTTGACTAACATTACTCACCCGTTGTACATTATTTTTAGTTATATTAAGGAAGTAAGGACCACGAAAACGCTTGGGGGCAAATACGATAACCTGAAGAAAAAAAAACAAATTCAATTCAACACATAAATAACATATAATTTAATATTATACAACAAATATTACCTGTTTCAGAATTAACACACACCCCACAACAATTTCTTCCCCATATTGTTGGTGTTGCTTAACTTTGTAATGTAAGCTTGCACCAATCGTTGCAGTTGGGTCCTGAAATAAATATTTACAATTAATTACAAAACAATTTCTTTTAATGTATAACAAATTCACTAACCATACCTTTAAATTAATAGTATAATTTCCCTTTCTAGTTGGGATCATAGACTCCACAAAAGCAACAACTGTTAGGACTTTTTCTAAATTGTGGTTGATATTAATCAATGTTGTCACTTCAGGTAGATCTATTGTAAAAAAAAAATAACATTATTTGCATCATTAAATTTACACACATGAAACTAAATATGCTAAACAAACCTCTAGATTTGACATAATGAACAACAGCGCCACGGGTTAGAGTTGAACACCAACATCGCAGGTCCGTTAAGATCAGACAAAAACTGTTGTGTTGGCAAGGGATTTTCAGATTCCCTGTTCCTCATTGTAACTTGGACCAAACCAGCTGGTCCAGAAATAAGATGGCCAATGTCACATGTACTAGATGTCTCTTCGTCATTATCATCCCCAAGTTTTGGTGTAGGGGGTGACAACAAAGACAATGACTTCTGTTCTCTAGCTTCTTCAGCCTGTTTAGCTGCCATAACACTTCTCATTATTGACAACAATTGCTCATATGTCAATACTTCATTTGATGGAACAATGTTTTCTTCTTCGTCACTATCATGTACATAATCTATTCCTCTACGAGACATTCCTGATAAAATATAAATCAAAATAAATATTCCATTAATATTGTTTCAAGTTCTAAAATTTAAAATATTCAGTATAATATCATAATTTTTAACATTGCAATAAATACATATATTCAATTATAAAAATCAAATTATATAACTTTTTCAATTAAAAAAAAATTAATTGGGGCACTGGAACGGCCCGTTCTAATTTCAGAACGGGCTGTTCTCATTGCAACAGTGGTGTCTTATCTATGGATCTAGAACGGGTCGTTTTGAAATCAGAACGGCCCGTTCTCAGAGAGCTCATAAGATGTTCATTTTAGTTTCAGAACAGCCCGTTCTCCTTTTAGAACAGGCCGTTCCAGAGCAAAAAATAACAAATCTTCAGTACTATAAGAACGGGCCGTTCTCCTTTTAGAACGTCCCGTTTTTACTGTACATAACCCTCCTTACTTTACCATCCGGAACGGCCCGTTCTGAATACGTACATTTTCAGAACGGCCCGTTCCACGTTTAAAACTTACGTATTAACCATTCTATTTAAAAAAAAATTAAATTATTACATCACTCTATTTTATCTTTGAATCATCATACAATATATTATAAAAATTAAAATTTAAAATTACAAAAATTAAAATATATTACTCACTTGCACTATCCTAGACCACCAAATAAAATATGATAGCACCTAGACCACACCGGAAGAAGTGAATTTTGTGAAACCCAATAACACGTTCTATATTTAACTATTAATGTCTGAATTTCATAGCGCCTGGGGAGAGGCGCAACGTATCAGCACGTGAATAGATAGCACTTGGGGGAGGCTTTTTCTTGAAAACGCCTCCCCCTGCTCTTTCTTTACAAATCTGCCACATGTAACATTTGCAACAGATGGTGCCTTGGGGGGAGGCTCCTTCTGAAAAACGTCTCCCCCCATGCTCTTTCTTCACAAACTGCCACGTGTAACATTTGCAAACGATGGCGCCTTTGTAACATTTGTAAAAATGTTTTGTAAATACATTTTTACAAAACATAATTTTTTTATTTATTCAAATAAATAAATTGTATTTGAATACATTTTCTTTCAAAACGTGATAATTTTTATTTTTTTGGACAAAGAATTTTTTTTATTTGAATACGTTTTATTTTGAAAATGTATTTTCATTCGAATAAATATATTTCTCTCATTCAAATATAACTTTTATTTATTAGAGTGAAATTTACAATTTTATTTATTTATTTATTTTAAATTTATTATTTTGATTAATTTTCAATCTAAAAAAATTATTTATTTACTTTTAATCAATTAATTATTTTATTTTAAAAATATTTTAATTTTATTATTTAATTATTCTAGCATGAAAGTTAAATTGACGTGCCACCAAGTGTTTCTTCATTTGTCCATGCATCGTGAGCAGAACATAAGGAGGTCCAACGGAGTTGAGGGAAGAAAAACCATTGTTGTAGGCAATGGCTCTTAATTATCAAGTAAGCTTGAATTGAGTTTGATTAGCTAGCTCTTAATTACCATGCTTCAGACATATATTATATATAGCTTGAAAAGGCTGTCATTTCTCTGGGCTAGTATTAATTTCATGAAATAATTTATGTGTCTGGGAACTTAATATTATATACGATTCTCTATACCTTTGCCTGTCGCCGACCGGGGTCCCATTCTTTTCCTTCCTAGAGTTTTAGCTGGCCGGCCATAAAAGATCTGTTTGTCTAAATTTTATCTTAATTAATATTTTTTAAACGATCTCTTATATTATATTGAAATTAAATAATTAAGATAGTAAAATATCAACAATGTATTTATTTTTAAAACACTCATATATAATATATATTAGATATATTTTCATATATCACTTTTCTATATATTAAAATATCACATAATTTAGAATTAAAAAATCAAATAAATATATTTTTTATTGTTTTTTATCATTCTCGTTTTCTTTTTTCCTAAACTCACATTTTTTTTATTATATTTGAAAAATAATTGTAACGAGAGAAAATAAATCATTCTCAAATAATTTTTTTTATTGTTTATCTGCTTACAAAAATGAAGTTATTGTTAGACATACTCTGATTTCAAAATTAATGAAAAATTATTTTAAAGAATCCGGATATTATAAAAAGAACCATTGATCTCTGTACACAAACAATGTTAAATACTAAAAAATTTCCTAAACTTTTACTTACTTGAAGGAGAGAAAGGACAAACTTGATCTTTTCGCAAGATGCAGCCACTTCTCTTTCTCTTTTCCGAGTTGCAGTCAACCACTCACAATCAAAGATCAAAGAGTAAACATAAATGGGAGAAAAAAAGGAGAGAAAGGGGAATGAAAAAATTAGCAAAACAACAAAAAGAAAAGAAAAACTTTTAAAATGTTGAACCGCT